GAAAATGAAGAAAATTGGTAATCATTATGTGGCATAATACTTTCATTTGGAAGGCCTCAGCCCAGCCAATGTAAAATCTCTTTGTTATCGATGAATAAATTAATTTTACATGGAAGTGATATGAGTTCTAGTCATTTCAATAATTTCAAATAACACTATTGTGAAATTGTCACTTTTCGGTAACTCTGTTAACTCTTGAGTAAAAATCTCGCAATAATGTGCGAAAAAAGTGAAGGGAGAGATTTTCCGGCAAACGTATTATTTCTTTTTGTGAAGTGAAGAGTTCTTCAATATCTCTACTAGTCATTTTAGTATAAGTTGGAGTTAACAATTTCCATTTTTCCGTCAAGCTATTCATATTTTAAGCCTCTGATAACATTTGGGAAAAATGTGTTCAATACTCGTCATCATTCCACTTCTCAGATGTACAGGCATGTCATCAATGAAATTGAAAGAACTGGCCTCAGAATTGGGCCTCAAGCATACAACTTCTCAATGATGATTTCGAAATGGGTGGTATCAAAAAAGCCCGAAAATACTTCTATTCCTTCATCAATTCCATTGTATTTGATACACAAAATTCATTAACTTTCAGTGTGTTCTCTACTTCATTTGTTAAGATTTACATACGAATGAAAATTAATTCAAATCCAGGTTCAATAAACATTCACGCATGTAAAAAGGTTTTTTCTGTGACGGGAAAAAGTTTTGACAATTTATCTCTGATGACAGGTAACAAAATGTCAATTTTCCTGAAATTTTTTTTCCCGGTCTATTAATATCAGTTCGTTTATTCATTGAATGTTCTTCGTTATTAATATGTATCATTTCCAAAAATATGCTCTTAGTTATATTGGTTTCCCTATCTAAAATATTTGGATTTTCAAAATTCATTTTATGATCCTCCGAATTAACATGTTCTGTTAATGCACAAGAATTAACATTTCGTCTACAGTCGCTCTCATGGGAAGTGATGCGACTACTTAGAGGTCCAGATGTTTGTCCTATATATGTTTTAGAACAATCCATACAAGAAATTTTGTATACTAAATTGGATTTTTGTTTATTTGAAATTGGAGCTTTTAGTTTACTGTATAATTAGTAGTTAATGGTGGTCATTTTGAACATTTAATTTAATTGTAAAGTACATTGAAAATACATTCTAAATATTAGGTGGCATTATTATCTTCATTCTAAAATGCTGGTATAACATGTTCATCCTGATACTTTTTCAGTTTCATTCAATATATTTTCATGAATATTCGGATTTCTGTAGCTTTTGATAGCCACCTTGAATAAATACTGAACTGGAACAAACAGCATACAAACTTTTGTAATAGGAAAATGATACCATAGCGAACGTATTACACAAATTCTGAAGGACTTAAGACCTTCATGCATAAAACATAAGATCCCAGCTATGTTCAAGTATACGGATACATCACGATAATATCCTGGGAATCAAATTGCCAGCGTTCCTTGTATTCTCCAAAACACAAAGCTCTGTTTATATTCACAATGGTATATATAATTCATTGCCTGTATGATGTTCATAAGTAGTTGCGATGTACAAAGACAGTTGGCATTGTAACTTTCGATCGGATGAGTTAGAAATATGTATTTCCTGGAGTATTCAATAAACGTACTAATATTTGCAGAATATAAACATATTTCAAAATCGAATATACACCAGGTCGAATAAATCACATTCATAATTCACAAAAATAAATTTCATTTGGAATTCACATTGGAGTGTATTGAATCTAAGTGCTGATATTCCCAAAAATAATCAGAAGAATAGTACAAATATAATGTGGAATACTGAATTACATTTGTACGTGTGTGTAGAGTCTACATATTTCATATAATTTTTATATAGTTTCTCATCAGTTACTAATTGTTATTTTTAATATTATCTCCACATGAATGAAAATGATTCTTCTGGGTCATTTACTCATTGTTTTCTCTGATAATTGTCATTTTTATCTGATGTACAGATTCATACCGTGTTAGCAATAACACGTTAGAAAGTAAGACCTCGTTACTTCTTAGCTCGCACAAGTTTCTCAACTTCTGAGAGTTGTCGTTCGTATGGGTGCGACAGCTGATTAATGAAAAAAACAGATTTTCAAACAGATACTTATATATTGATTGATTGCTTGACCACTTCTCTTTCTCTACTCTGTGAGCAACTGTTTTTTCTATTTTGAACTTCAGTAGAGGCATCTTAAAATCAAAGTTATGAATGATATCGGATGAAAAATATTTCCCGGTTTTCAAGTATGTCTTCAACTCTTTCTCAATCAATTGTACGAAACGATTTCACTGAATATTCTCTTCTTTCATTTATATATCCTTACGTTGTTACGTTTTAGGAAGAAGAATTTCCTGCTTTGTTCCTAAATTCTTTCAATAATTAAAATACTTTAAAAAGCTCAGAGATTTTTCTCTAAGCCCAGGTGAAGGTTTAACAAACCAGTGGAATGCTAAAAACCCCGTTAAATTCTGTTATTTATATTTTGCATTCCTGTTCCTGCATTCCTGAGATATCGGGAGGACACCCGGCGAAGTGCGGCGAGAGATCCTCAACATCGAGGAACTAGTGTAGCAACATCGTGCTAGTACACTGATAATATTTCAATTATTTTCCACCTGCACCTACACTAGTATACAGTGTGTTCCATATGTATGGAATAAATTCATTTTTAGCGTTATTATGTACTATGTGAAAAAAACCTGAAACAGGTCGATTTTTATTCTTAAATTGACAATTTACAGTATGAAAATATTATCCCCTTCCAGCATCCCTTCTGAATTATAAGCACCTTGTTGGAAAGGAATTTTAGTCCTCTGTTCAGCAATATAAAGTTTTTTAAGTTTGGTGCAATCATAACTGAGAAAATAATTTTTACATTTGAATTAAATGTTCAAAATGACCACTAACACGCTCCTCACCAACCTTGAATCCTGGAAAAAATCTTTGATGATACTAAAATATTAGACAAAAAGCCAAATAAACAATTGATATGAATCTAGTGGGCTGCTGTAATTTAGGTATTTGAAGTTACTAAAAGACGTCAGTATAATATTTGTGGGCGTATTAAATTTAATTATGGCTCATTTGTCCGAGACTCAAAGAATAGACATTTCAATTATGATTGGTTGTGGTAATAAAACAAGAACTCAAAAGGAGGTTTGTGAAATTTTTAATAATAAACACCCTGGTCAACACCTGTCGCAGTCTACAGTTAACAAAATTGAAAAAAAGTTTCGTGAAACTAGACATGTAAAAAATATTGGAAAACCAGGTAGAAATGTTCAATTTACTGATGAAAAAAAGTTGGATGTACTTCTAGAGATTGAGGAAAATCCGCATAAGACAACTCGAGAACTTGCCGCCGACAATGATGTAAGTAAATCATCTATTTTCAGAGTTTTGCATAAAGAAAAATTTACCCTTACAAAGTTCAGTTGGTTCAGGAGTTAATGGAGTTAATGATGATGGACAGAATGAACGCAGATTTGCAGTTCGTTAACAAAATAGTGTTTTCTGATGAAGCGACGTTTCATTTAAACGGAACAGTTAACAGACAGAACTGTAGAAATTGGAGCAGAGAAAATCCTCACCGGATATGTGCGACTCACACTCAATATCCTGAAAAAGTTAACGTTTGGGCTGGTATCATTAACAATAAATTTATTGGCCCTTATATTTTTGAGAGCACTGTTAAGGGTGAGGTTTATCTAGATTCTTTGATTATAATTTTAGTGCCTACATGGCCGGCTAGATACCCCAATTTGACTCCTCTCCATCACTTCTTATGGAGTTCTTTAAAATCTAAATTATATTTTAATGCAACAAACAATATTGCTGATTTAAAAGTTAGGATAACGGAAGAAATCAACAAAATACTACCCGAGGTCATAGAAAATGTTGTACGAGAATTCCAAAATCGCCTCTGTTATTGTCAAGTAGTTAATGGTGGTCATTTTGAACATTTAATTTAATTGTAAAGTACATTGAAAATACATTCTAAATATTAGGTGGCATTATTATCTTCATTCTACGTAAAGTTTTGTGATACCTAGAGACATTATAAAAATTTCACATTCTAAAAATCAATTTTCTCAGTTATGATTGCACCAAACTTGAAAAACTTTATATTGCTGAACAGTGGACTAAAATCCCTTTCCAACAAGGTGCCACACGACCCCCTTTGCTATTTAAAATTTTCGAGGCGGTTTTTATAATTCAGAAGGGGTGCTGGAGGGGGATAATATTTTCATACTGTAAATTGTAAATTTGAGAATAAAAATCGACCTGTTTCAGGTTTTTTTCACATAGTACATAATAAAAATGAATTCATTCTATACATATGGACCGCACTGTATATGTATTTATCAACAATTCCCGAATTCATTCAAGTCAATATTCTTTTACCGATTGTACTTCCTGGTGAACGTTTGTAGTGGACAGTCATCATCTCTAGAACTTACGTCATTCCATTGTCTTCTCTCTCACACCCCCAGGTCTTTTTGGTACTTCTCTTCTGGTCATTGACGTTTTACAAGAACTAATAGGGGTGCACAAGAACTTACGTCATTCCATTGTTCTCAGGGGTAAATTTGAGCGTTTTTGGCAACTCTTCATCCCTACTGCTAAGGGTTTGGAGAACTCGATGGACTGTATCTAGAACCGCATTAGTATAATTACTATCTCTCTTCATCATTCACGCATCTCAGAGGCACAGCTACATTTGCCAAGATGTACTAACTGCTAAATAAATATGCCCTTGATTTACGGGTGTTCACGCGTTGCTATCTCCTTGATCTCAAATAACTTTATATTACTCTTTCCATTATTCAAGAAAGACTTCTGAGCGACAACCTCACCCATCAATATTCCGAATCCCATCCTCGGGTCCTATCCCAGAATTCCATTGGCTTCTCGTGTCCACATTACTAATCACTGTCGACTCTATCAAAGTTTTCCCCTTCAGATAATCCACCGAGATCTAGCAGCCCGCAACATTCTCATCACGGAGGAGCATACATGCAAAGTAGCCGACTTTGGATTTGCCAGGGACGTAATCGCTTCCCACGTTTATGAGCGCAAAAGCGAGGGCAGGCTTCCCATCAGGTGGATGGCTCCGGAATCTCTCTATGACAACATATTTACGGTCAAGTCGGACGTGTGGAGCTTTGGAGTTCTCATCTGGGAGGTGGTCACGTTGGGAAGTACGCCGTATCCTGGGATGTCGGCGGTGGAAGTCATGAAGAAGGTGAGTGAAAGTTTCCAGAGATGGATGGCACTATATTTCCAATATGTGTACACCCGATCACAGAAAATGTTGAAGAAAATATACTGAAAAAATAACATAATTAGATTCAACTAACAACTATACAACTATAAAATAAATGAATTAATTGTAGTCTTAAAAATGTTGACATCGAACAATTGAAACTTATAAAAAACTATAAATGAGAGGTTCTATATCAAATACAATCCTTGATTGTTTGAAGGTGGTTGACAATATTTCGTGGTGTATTTCATCAGTTCGGACTTCCATTGTTTCCATTCCATTGTCCATTGTCCATTGTCCATTAATTTGAAATCCCTGAAAGAAATTAAAAAGATTACCCGAAAAATAACAATTCTATCAAACAAAAAGTTGAAATTCCTAAGAAATAACATACAAGCAACAACCAAAAAATAAAAAAAATTGAAAAGTTAATAGAAGCTGAAAATTAAAAATTAAAAAATTATTAACTAGAAATGAAACTAGAAATTAAAAAAGATTCCAAACCAAGTTACGTCACGACGTTTCGATTGTTAGTATCCACAAACGTCTTCGGGTGATAACTGGACTCATTCCTCCGAGATCTGACTATTTGATAATAATAATAATATTTATTTGTAGTTCCATATGAATACAATAAATATACAATCTATAAGAATGATAAAAAAAACTACAAATAAGGCTACAAAGGTGTTCCGGAAGGGTACTGTTGATCTTAGTTCTAGCCTTGAAGAAAAGAACACTAAACGAGAGAAAAAACAGAGAAAGAAAGAGGGTAGAGAGAGAGAAAACATGTGAAATTCATTACTGAAAATTTTTCTGAAGTATAAAATCTATGAAATCAATGAAATCAATGGCTTTATGATTAAGCAGCGATGAGATAATTTTGGAACAGCACTTAAATGAAGAAACTTTACTAACTTTATATTTTTGTGGGATATTATTATACAAACTATTATATTATAACTGAAGGATCGTCTATATAGAGTGTATCGATGGGGCGGCGGAGAAAGTAACCCTTTAAAGCTCAAATTTAGAGTGTTTACATCGCTACGAAATCTTATTTCGTCATGAAAATATGATGGACATTTGTTAATCAATATTTTATGAAAGAGGGTAGCCGAGTGTAAAACACGTGTATTTTCCATAGTCAACCAATTGGTTTCCTTAAGTTTATATGAAATTCTGTCATATTTTTTAATACCATATATATATACCAAAGACATGATTTTTGAACTCACTCAATTCTTAAAATATCTTTTATATCCAGGCATGAACCATACACAACATCACAATATGCAAAATGACTCAACACAAGAGCATATGTTAATTTTATTTTCAAACTTATTGATAATAAATGACGATGAGGATAAAGCATTTTCAAACTCATGTAACTTCTTTGAACACTTTTTGTGACATGTTTTGTAAACCTTAAATTCACGTCCATTTCGATACCTAATTTTTTTGTCACGTTCCTGGGGCATATTACTGTATAACCAATAACAATATTAATATGTCTCTCCACCAAGCTACGATCAGTACCAAAAACAAGCAGATTAGTTTTGTTTGAATTAATTTTGAGGTTATGAGCTCCAGATGCTGAAATAAGACGAGCTAAATCTTCATTCGATTTTTGATTAGCAGTAGCAACGTCATCAGGGTTAATAATAGATATAGTTGAGTGTCATCCGCATACTTATGTGAATTACAATGTCTTGAAACAGAAACTAGATCGCAAGTGTATATGCAAAATAATAAGGGTCCAAGTATAGATCCCTGAGGCACTCCAAATTTAATAAATTCACTGCTTTATTTTTCCTTCGAAGTTTCTACAAACTGTGAACGATCTTTAACATAGCTTTTAGTTAAATTTATAGCAGGTTCAGAAAACTCGATGAAGTTCAAATTTGCAAATAAAATTGGATAACTAATAGTATCAAAAGCTTTGGAGAAGTCTATAAGTATCAAAGCATTTATAGGTTCGCTTAATCCGCTTCATTGGTTTTAGCGGGAGATGACCGTTTGGTGGGAGTTGGTCGTTTTCCGCTTGATTAGAAGTTTCCATATGTTACGTATCTCTACGCTAACTTGGCTAAATGCGTTGTTGGACAACATATACGCGGCTTCTTTAAATTTTCTCCTAAACCAGTGTTCCTTCTTGTGTATGATTTCAGCTTGAGCCCACTTGATGTTATGTTGATTAGTCTAAATATGCTCTGCTATTCCGGATTTGCTGGTTTCTCCTCGCTGTGTGTGTTTCTTGTGCGCAGCAATGCGAACTTTCAATGGCCTCTTAGTTTCACCGATGTATGATTCTCCGCACTCGCAGGGTATCCGGTAAATGCAATTCTTGGAATCGCAGTCCGCGTTTGGTGGCCTGGTTTTTGTGAGGCTGCTACGGATAGTGTTCCCAAATCTGAAGCAGGTCCTGATGTTATACTTGGACCCAATTCTTCTTATCCTTTTCGATACTCCTCCGATGTAGGGAAGTACAAGTACTGGTTGTGGAGGCTTCTCTTTCTTGTGGAGCTCCTGCTGTCTTCTTGCTGAAGCCTGTTCTACCATCACTCTGGAGTAACCATTCCGTTCCTTTCCTTTTCGAGGCCTTCCTTTGTATTACAGAGCCCGAAAGTACGGTCTAGTAGAGTCTTGATGATTCCTCTCTCAGTCGATTGATTTGTGGTTCAGAGTGTGAGTGGGTTTTCGATATACAGATGTTTCCCATTTAGTGTCGGTCCTCTTCACCAATACGTCTAAAAAAGGCAATTCGTTTTGAACTTCCTTCTCCATTGTGAAAGTGATGGAAGGAATTACGTTGTTTATGTGCTTCAGGAAAGTACAACGATCCTTGATGTAGTTGAAACATCATCCAGAAGTTTTAAAGAACACATTATATTTACTGATGCTCTGAGACTCAAATTTGTTCTAGATTGTAACATTTTGTAATTGTAACCTTTATATCTCTGAATTCTCTAGTGTTCCTCATTATGGAGCTCAATATTTGACTAGCAGATAAAACAGCTATCAATGAAAGTCGTTGAAATACTGAGTTTTCTGAAAATTCCTTACATAAATAAGTAAATTTAGTACGAATCTTTCAACAGAGACTTCAGAACTTTCATGATTGCCAACGGCCAACTTGTTGAAGCTACATTGTCATTCATTTAGTCTGCTTTGCTGACTAACCGTGGACACAAATAGCATTCGATAATGTGGGTCTTTCGAACGAATACGAAATTTCTATGATATCTCACACGCTTAAAGATAGATCCTACATTATGATTCAATAAAATCCTACCGATTGCCATCCACCTTGTCCATTTCCTTCAATTCTCCATAAAATACCTGCAACCTCAGGAGTTTACGATTTTTGTCCCATTTTAACCATCTCTATTCTTTTACTAGGTTGTATATGCCTTTTGTTGAATATTTGACATATCATCTTGGATATAACTTGAACTTGTGTCCCGTCTCTCTTCCTCACGAATGAAAAAAAACTGTTTCTGCTACTTTGTTGGCTTGTGACACATTTGTCTCTTCTATTATTAATCCTACATGTATCTGGATCCCGTGTGTATCTTGAAAAGTGCGCAAATGAACTCGCAACAGCAGAGTTTTCAACCTGTCTTACAAGAAAGGGGTTTTCCTTCTTGTTGAAAGATTGCTCGCGTTTAGCCTATTCCCAAAAAAAGCAATAAAACTCTTCCAAATAACTATAGACCAGTCGCTTTGCTAAAGTTATATGAAAAATCATGAAGAAAGCTTTAAACCAGCATATCCTCAAATATTTGGAAGTCTTCAACATCTTGAGCGATCATCAATATGACTTTTGAACAAAGATCAACAGGCGACTTTCTATCGTATGTCACGCATATGTGGATTAACGCAATCGAGAACATGGAGAGTTAAGAACTGTTGCGCTTGATATTTCTGAAGCCTTTGACCTTGTGTGGCATGAGGATTTGCTGGCCAAACTTCAATGCTATGGCTCTTCGGATCACTTTTGTGTATGGCTCTTCAGCTTCCTGGAAAAACATTCCCTGCAAGTAGCCGTCGATGGATATCTCTCGAATATCGGCTGCAGGTGCACATCTTCACAGGCAGCAAGAGGTTGCATATCTTGATTAACCAGGTTCAATTCAATGCCTCCAAAAACCCAGGTATCGGTTTTCTCAAAAAAAAAATGTTTCTGAACCGTATATAATAATGTCAGATCAGACAGTTCCGCTTTCTGCTTCGATGAGTTTGTTGGGGGTTAAAATGGACACCAATATGTCTTGGCACAATCATGTCCATGGAATGGCAAAGGCTGCTTCTCAAAAGCTTGGAACATCGAAGAAGGACTGGAGATTTGTCCCTCTTCTATAGATACTTCTGTTCAAGTGACTTGGTATATGGTATGTGCTATCGCGGGGCTTCTTTTTGTATTATAGTTGTTCAAACAAAAATGTAAAGTTTGGGCCCCCTTTATTCACGTCGATATCCAGGCCGGAGTGGTTCGTATAAAGACGTTAAGAGGGCCTTGTATGTGAAAAACCCCAAGGTCTACCGAGGAGGAAGGAACTTGAAAAGATTACGTGTTTTTTATGAAGAAGAGAATACGAAAGAACTCAGGGTGGCAGCTCTGCTTCGAGAAAGACGCGTCCCCTGACGAAGCTCCTGCAACTGCTGATGAGAGGAGCCTGGCTAAATGCCCCTAAATAGGAAGCAACAGCCATTGAAAAGGGGGGAAGGGGAGAGAATTAAAATTTGGATGATTGTTATAACCTCAAAGACGTATCACGGTTCCAAAGAAAAGTCTGTTATAATAATAAGCTTCGGCTTTGACCAACAGAAATATAAAATTTCTGTAGGTAAAAACGGGTTGTAATGAAGATATTAATGATAGTGAATATTTAAGAAGTAAAAGCAGAATAGTGAATTGAATAGACACTGTTGTAAAAATTAATGAATTTTTCTCGGAGAATTAAGGACAAACAGGG